GTAGCTTTGGTGTAGTGAAGCTTAATTTATTGTTGAGTAACTGATAGCTTAGCTCACTACACTGGACAAGTAGCTTGCCCAACACTGGTTATTACAATGATAATTGATTTACGCCCCCAGAACTCATAACTGAGTTCTGGGAATTGTGAGTTAAAATGTTGTTGTTAGCTGAACTTTTTAATAAGGTATGAATAAGAGGGTAATAATTTCATTAGCCTGTTTAAAAGGTACAAAAATGTGCAGCTAAAGACTTCTGACTACAGTGTTTAGTAAAAAGAAGTCCCAGTTGAGATTGTTCTGATTTTCCTTTTCAATTTACAACAAATTTCAATATAAGATTTCATGTGATTGACTCCTATTATGAAGCTGGTGAAGAATAAATCATTTTATTTTCTTGTTTGATCATTTGTTTTTTCGTCTGCTTTTGTTCTTTTTAATAAACTGCCATTAGTGTTCTGCCCTCGCCAATCCAGGCCTGAACCTGACCTGAACACTGAAGTTTGCACATTTTTCTGTAAAGCAAAACCACATATTTTTTTTAAAATGTAATGTTTTTTTGTTTTTGTTTTTCTCCCATAAATGAACTAGCCCATTTGAGTTAGTCATTATTCAAAGGTATTATACTGCATTAAACACAAACACTGTGCTGGCTACCATAAAGGCCATCAGTCCATTTCATAGATTGGTCTGGGACAACGCGCACTTTATGTAAATACTACATTTGCATTATGCAGATATTTTAAATTGGGAGTCTCTGTGAAATTACAATCTTATTTTAGGATAATAATAAAGACTTAATATTATTAATATTAGACTGATGAATTCATACATTTTAAGTAGCCTATAGGCTTTTTGTTTTGTAATTTTGTAGTAACATTTCAGCAGCTAAAAATTGCAGTACCATCAAAGTGTCTAGCTCCATATTATTATGATATTCTTATACATGAACACCAGAATTTTCCCATTGTGGGACAATAAAGGGATTTTCCATTCTATTCTATTATCACATTACAAGTCTATGAATGCAAGAAGAATGGGTCGAGAATTCGACCATGACAACTGTAAAGAAAATCCTTGATTACCTACACAAAAGTACATCTGATCACACAGTTCCCCCAGTACAGTCATCTTAAGGAGTTGACCATTGTCAGGTGTGAAGCTGCAGCACAAGTAGCTATATAGCTATTTTTTTAGATTGTACCGGTATATACAATCTTAATGTGTATTAATACATGGGAAAATATAAAAAAATGCTTACAAAAATACAGTAACAGGTTTTCTTCTAAGTTCACCCTGTATTTAGCCCGATTAAATAAGACCTTCCATTAGATTTAAAAATGCTTTATCAAAGGGAAATTATTCAATCCGTCTTCCCATCAACTCTATTCAAATTTCATATTTCTGCCAACAAAATTAATTCTCCCTGGAGAATAATAAACTTTAATGGTTTTCATGGCATAGTTTATCAAAGGAGCAAAGAAAAATGTATTACAAAAGTACACCGCACTCTTCAAATTTGCATTTATAAAACAAAACAATGAAAACCATTCTTCTCCTTTGAGTGCAGAACTATTAGGTTCTTTGTGTTTTTCTATACAATAAGAAAAAAGATACACTTAAGTGATGTGATAACATGAGAAAAGACACGAGGTATGGTCATTTTTGAAAGTTTGATGAATGAAAGGAAGAATACAATAAATGAACAGATACAATAATTGCAAACTCTGTTCTAATAATGGTGAAGCATTGCCTTAACAATCATTTTACACTTCACGTTGATTGCTGAATATAGATTGGAAGCTGAGTGATTAAGTACGAATTCCAATTTTAATCTCCAGCCTTGAAGGCGTCATACGACTGCGACAATTTGAAATGAGAGAAAAATACATTTTTGCAAGTTTTTTCTTATTATTAAAACTGATCATATATCAAGTTTTGTGTTGTTTTATTGATTTAATGTTTGAATGTAAAGTGGTGATATTATAAATTATTTGTCGTAAGACCGGAAGTGAGATATTCTACTTCCGCCCAACTATTGGTTCATTCAGCCAAGATGGCGAGTGGAGGGGTGGCCGTGGCTTCGCTGTGGACCGAAGTGAACCGCTGCGGACAGAATGGGGACTACACCCGAGCTCTGAAAGCTCTCACTAAGAGTAAGCATAGAAGCTTGGCAGGGCCTTCATGAAAACCCCTAAAATCAACCGTTAGCCGCGGTTAGCGAGATTCCCAGCTTAGCATAAGCTACATGTTAGCATGTTGACAAGCTAAAACAGGCAACTGTCAACTCTGGAAAGAGACACCTGGCTTTGGCTCGCTTGTTATTTTTTAGCCCATAGTTTTGATTAATCATCATAATAAATTGAATGTCTTGGGTGTAATTTTTGGCTAATTTTAAATGAAATGTCACTAAACTGCACCGCCTATGAATGACGTGTCCCTAGCCTGACCTGCTCGGGCTGTGAGGGGCTGATGACCACTGTCTTTATATTCTTGGACTTCTTTTTGTTACTGTCAGTCTAAAGTCATTTTGCTAAAACTGAAATAATGGATAACAGGAAAACACCTTTGATGCAAGAGCTTATTTAGCATACGTAGCTTTAGGACTTTTAACACACCAGTATTACTCAATATAATTTGAGAAAAGAGTAGCAGCAATGAAATGACAGTGAAATAAATTTTAAGTATTAGAACATTATTGTTGGAAATGCAAAGAAATGATTTTT